CGAGCGATCGGCTCCTGCTGCGGTGGTCGTTAGTCTCCGAGTGTTCGGTTACCAATGACGCGATTCCCGTAAACTCCAACTCCGAAGGGCAATTTTGAGTTCTTTACGAGCTATCAAAATCACTTGTGGACCACAGGGCCTCAAAATCTAATTTCGTTAGCAAACTAAACTAAGGGCAACAAGATAAGACAAACACTAAAAAAGCAGGAACACAAGCAAATGGCCAGATCTACAATACGATTGCGATAAGCATCTCGCAGCTCTTCGCTCGTCGCTTGTGTGCGGACTCGTTAGGAACATCGTTCTAAAGGTGCTGGAAGCACAAATTAATATTTGTGGTGCTAGCAGCCGTGTGCGGTCTGTGGTCCTGTTGCGTTCCAGGGGGCCCTGCGCACAAAAACAGACTGAACACACACTCACAAGAACAAGACAAAAGGACATCATCAGCCAGAACAATGGGCAAATTTGTCGTTAAGAGTGGGCTCTGCTGACCGTAGAGAAAGTCAAACTAAAGGATTTACGCGCAGGTCAAAGCAAAACGGATACAGATACACAGATACAGATGGATGCTGGATGCTGCTAATGCGGCCAGCTTGGCATGCGTAAGAGCTCGACTTGAGCTTGACCCGCAAGTTCACTGGACACGCACTGAAGTCGAGCCAAGAAATGATCAAGACACAAGACTGTAGAGAATGGAGGGAATGGCTGTGGCTGTGGCTGTGGCTGAGATCTGTTGGTAACGTTGAGCATCGTACCTTAATCGCTGCATTTTAATCGACACGCAAAGTTCGTTTAAGTTAAATAAACGTTTAAACGAGAACACGGCGAACGGGGCAAACAGCAACAAGCGAATGGCATGCGCTGCACGCAGCTCGAAAGGGCTCTGAAACAGCAAACAAAAACAAAAAAGCAACAACAACAACAACAACAAACTTGGGAACTGCGAACTGCGAACTGTGACTGGCAGCTGGCAGCTGCAGAGGAAGAACCAGAGATTTGGAGTGCGTGCGCTTGGCTCTGGGTGTGTACGAAATGTTTAAATTAAGCTGGATATCAAGTGCACCAGATCACTAATTACCAGCGCCAGCCAAAGCAACAAAACTTTGCGAGCAGCACAAGAACAAGAGAAAAAAGCCAACTCCTCTTGAACTTGGACATCGTGTGAGCCAAGCGCCGCTGCATGCATGGAGTCAAGTTTACTCTGTTGGCCATCCAAAATCAATAAAGATCGTTCCCAGATTGCGGCCCAGTGTTTGCTTAACTTTCGGCTGCCCTTAAATGGGTTAATGCCAGTTCTCTTGCCGTCTGCTGTGAAACAATGGAACTGACCGTTACTTGATAGCTTTTGATGGCATTCAAATGCAGTAACTCAATTTGATGTGTGTGATCATTGGACTAGCGATAGCGCGCCTTACAACAGCTTAAGCCAGATTCAGCTTAAGCGATAGAAACTTTACTGACCAATTCAATTGATATCTAAATGTAATTCTAATAAATTAATAAACAGTTTCGTTTGCTCGAAAGTATTTCAATTTAAGAGTCTGGGTAGCATTGAGTTCAGCCGTACACGATGTTTCCATTCGGTTACAATAGCAATTATGCATATTATATATGTTTTATAACAATTACTTCCTGCATTGTCTGGCAGACACTTGCTTGGCATTAACTTGAAGTTTATCTTAATAATACGATCTTGCCTCTTCACCACACACACACATGCATATTAACTGGCAGCTGTCTACAAAAAGATATGACATACCATCCATATACTTAGTTTGTTTTGACTATTTGTCAGACAGCGTAACACGCCCCAACTGTAGAAACTATGGCCATTGCCATAGTCCATAGGAAGCTATGGACAGTAATTAAGGCCGCTACCGGACACAGCGACGAGCTGAGTCTGAGCTGAAAGAATGTTAAAGCCAAGTTATAGACCCAATCATGTTTTGCATAATTTCTCATTAAAAACATGTTTCCATTATCGTGTGTCAATAATTTTTTTGTATGCTGTCAGTTTCAAATGCAAATTCTTAACGGCAATTGATTGGATGATGCATTATAAGAGCTGCGAGCAATTAAATATATAATTTATAATAAGCACTCGCTCTCAACTATCGACTGGCAGCTGGAGCTGTGGAGCTGCTGGAGCTGCTGGAGCTGCTGCTGCTGTGCACTATTTTTAAAGATGTGCTCATGACTCCGCCCTGCATTCCCCGCCCAGCCCAACTGTCATATAACATATACATATACAGATAGATAGATAGAGCTCTGGCTCTGAGTCGCAACTCTATTAATAATGCATCTTTCATGGCGCATACATAATAAAGCATTTTAAAGCGTTTAAATGCCTCTCAACGCTCAAAAGGTTGGAGTTGAGGCCCAGCGTTTTGGTGTCTGGCGCCAATGGGCCACGTAATACGATCGGACCCGCTTCTTTTTGGTTTTCTGTTTTTCCAATATATTTATTTTGTCTCAGTGCATTTTTGGCGCCTGCATTTTGACAGTCAATAAAATTTTGAAATGTTATACTTTTCATTCTTTTGTTTTCTTGTCGCATCGATTTTATTATGTTTGTCTTTTGTTCTCTAAATGGCTTTTTGATTGGAGAGATTGGAGCAGCGATACAAATGAACCACTTTTTTCAGTTTGACAGCTGAAACAAAAAAAATACAAACCAGTCACAAAAAACTATCATCGAAACAAAAGACTTAGGCAACGAACTTGCCTAGCTATACATTTCCAACAGTCAAGACTTGATATATAGCTCTATTTTTAACAAAATTGATTAAAAAGTCGTTATGTGGCCAAACCTAATCTATGCCAGAGAGCTTGTGCCACACGAGAACTGCAAAGAAATTAACTGTGTTTATAGATTGCTTATGTCTCAATCGCACGATGTTTGCCAGGGTATTAGTGATTCGTTACACTGCAGTTAGTGTATAATTTTGGCTGGCTTTGTGTCTTACTATTGACTGTTTAATAAACTATAAAAATAAATTTAGAAACAATGACGACAAAACACGCATCGGAATGTGATCGAGCGGCAGTTAAAAAAAAAACGCACAATGGCGTGCGCTGGCTCAGCCCACCCCACCCTAGACCCGCTCTCGCGCAGCTCATCATGCATATTGATGACATGCGTTGCTCTCTCGGGTTCAGTTCATTGTTTATTGTCGTCCGTTAAGGCGTCAACTTTTCTGACATAGCCACAATTTACAAAGCTCGTAAACGATATTTTTGCAGGCAGTCTGATCGCTCGATCGCTCCGACTTGTCGGATTGTCCGATCCTGCATAGTTTTCGTACCATTCATCATTGGCGGCTCGGTTGGTTATTGTCTGGGGCAGACCATAAACAAAGTTCGGGGGCGACTGTTCGACTGTTCGACGACTGCCTAATTAAGTGATTAAAATTCTGACCAGCGTCGAGGCGTATGACTTTTGTATGTGTTAATATAAAGTTTATTATTTGAAGCAGCACGTGGTCAGCTCTGGCAGTCAGTCAGTCTATAGGCCTCTATTTCGGGCTCAGCGCGGACATCAAGTAGCCCATATAAGTGAGACTGCCAACCACATACACTCAGAGAATTTCCTACGATTTATCTTAATTTTGAATGGGCATAAAAACCATCTTGCTTTAGTTTCTCCAAGTGCATGCAGTCTATTGTCATAAGAGAAGTAAATATAATGTCCAACTGCTGGAGTTATAGAAATGTGCGATGTGAATAGCTTCTGATTTTATTTTTCCTTCATATTCTAGAGTTTCTCTCAGTGTACGTATAATCTGAATTGTTCCTCTGTATCTTGTCTTTCTCTTGTTATGTTCCCATTCTACTCCCCTTTGTTGAGTTTTTTTCAGTGTACGTTTTGCCTGGGGCTCTAGGCCCACAATGGCTGGCCACAGCATATCAAGCAGTGGGGCCTTACGACAAATATCTGTGCGTAACATTTGTGGCATTTTTAATTTACAGCAATCATTGCATTAGACGGCCGACCGGCACTTAAGCATTACTATATCGGTTTTATTATCGCCCATCGCCCATTGTCCATTGCCCATCGGCGATCGTCGATCGACTTGCAACAAATGTTTCGGTCGCTACGTTGATGAATTTATGCCAACCCATTTGGCGTTGACAACGCCAGCCCCGCGCCCCACTACATTGGGCCACGCCCCATTTGTCGCCCGTGTCTCAGATACAAACGCCACGATTTGAGTACAAAGCAATCTCGCCGCGTGGCAATCAATTCTGGAATGGACTTGATCGTATCACATCGCATCGCTACAATATGGCAGCTATAAAAGTCTAATAGAATTTTTGACAGCAAATTCTAGCTGAACAAATCAAAACTTCATTCTGAGTGGCCTCTGAATACGGAAACTTTTGCATAACTTTTTTGTTCACTAATCAACAAGGAATTTGTACTTAAGAGACGTAAAATACACCTGGAACTAGAAATATAAGATCAATTTCAAGAAATTGTGAAATGTTTTCAAAATTTCTTTAATGGAAAAGGATTTTTAAACAATCCTATATATTTAGAAAAATATTAAAAAAAATATTGGAAGTATATTTTTGTCTAAAAAAATATTTACATAATTTATATATATTCAGGCAACATATTTCTAGAGAATAGATCAAATATACTCGAAGAACTAAAGATCTGAATCCAAATTGTGAGCTTCAATATATTTTACTTCGTTATATATGACTCTATAAATTTATATATATTTGATTTCAGAAATATATACCAAAAATGTAATATATATAAATATATATCTATAAAAAAGATGTTTCCGCTTTTCCCAATCACTGTATAATGATCTCTTCTATAGTTAGCACAGCGATTGCTGCCCTGTCCCAGCGCCAATAAAAGTTAAAATATACAAATTATTTTCATATTAATTTATTTTGCTTGCATCAATTAAAACGCCAATCTTTAGGACAAATACTAAGAACTAAAATAGAATACTTAATACGATAATAATAGAATCAAACTAAGACTAAACAAATTTATGTACAATACATTGAGGGCTCTTCTCTTAAGGTGGGTTGGGTTCGCTTATGTTTTTTGATTTTCGTTTCTTTGCTTTTAGTTTAGGGAGTGGGTGGGGTGGGCACATTTTGTTGCTATAAAATACAATTTGCATGTTAAGTGTAATTTTTTAAAAACATATTTACAATTAGCGACTGTTAAACAAAAACTTTAAAACTTTTCTCATTTTCATTTTGTAAAAATAATTTTTGGATTTGAGCTCAATTTTGTGTGTCTTCGTGTGTGTGTGTGTGTACTGCAGCTAGCTGTCTCTTTCTAACACGCAGCTCTCAAACCTGTCCAATTTCGACAGCGCAAATCGAATTCAAACCGCACACGAAAAAATACAAAAAAAAACAAATAGATGAAAAAATAACAACAACAACAACAGCGACAGGCGGCGATGAGGCAAATGAGTTGATTGCCTTTTTGGCTCCACCCACAACCACACTAGACACACACAAAGATGCCGCGCATGGCGCTGGCCGCATTGTGGGTCACAGCGAAGCCACCAAACGGCGGCGACTCGCCGCCAATGGCGTTGAGCTTCTGCCGCTTGACGGCCACCACTGCCTCTGCTGGGGATATGGAGCTGTTGCTGTGGCTGCTGCTGTGACTGCTGCAACTGTTGCTGGTGTTGGCTGTGCTGCATTCGGGCTCCAGCTTGCAAAACTTGCGACGCGGCGCCGTCTCGTGCTCATCCTGCAGGCTGCACACGTCGCTGTCATTGAAGCTGTGCACCGAACTGCGCGACGTTTTCATGCTCAGATCCATGGGGCCATCTTGGGCGGCAGCGGCGGCTGCTGTGGCCGCTGCGTTCGCTGCGACTGTCTCGCCGCCAATCGAGCACACAGAGACAGGTGAAAGTGATTGCATTTTTACTGTGAAGCTCAGCGGGCTGCTGCTCTGCGATTTGCTGGTCGGTGTGGGCGAGGCGGAGTTCGAGTGAGAGTGGGAGTGGGAGTTGCAATTGGAGGCGGAGATGGAAATGGACGCAGCAGCTGGCATCAGCTGCTCTGGCGGCGTGGCACGTATGGCAACGGGTGTGTGTATGGTGTGTGGACTCTGGCTCTGGCTGTGGCTGAGACTGTGGCTGAACTTGAGGCTGTGCTGCGAGTGCACATCATCATCCGCGCCCAGGCAGACGTCAATGGGCGATGCTGCTGGCTGTGGCGGCTGCTGCTGCCGGACAGCTGTGGGCGGCGTATAACGGTTCTGTGACTCAGCCGAGCCAGCGGAGTCGACGCTCTGGCGATGCTTGTACATCTCCTGGCGATAGGCAGCATCTGCAGCGGCCGCCGCAGCAGCGCTGGCATGATAGCCCGGGAAGAGCAAGTGCGGCTGCAGCTGGAACGCTGACTGTGGTGTGGCCATCATGCTGAAGAAAGGCAGCGCAGCGGCGGCAGCGGCAGCATCGGCTGGGTGACGTGCTCCAAAGTGTTCCGGCAAATGGTAGCCGGGATAGCCGAGCAGCGGTGGCAAGTGTGGATGACGCTGTTGCTGTTGCTGCTGCTGTTGCTGTTGATGCTGCTGGTGCTGCTGTTGCTGCTGCTGCAGGTGTGCTGCCAGATCACCAAATCCGGGTGAGCTCATGGGCGAGCCAGTGGCATGGCCAGGCACCTTGCCAGCGGCAGCTGCAGCTGCCTGTTCGTGCTCCTGCAGCAGGCAATGGATCTTGAACCAATTGGAGCGACGTCCATAGCGCGAGCCGCCCTTGGACATGCCCACATTGTAGCACTTGCGCAAACGGCAGGCCTTGCATGTGGTGCGATTCTTTTTGTCAATGATGCACTTGCCATCGTTCTTGCACTCGCTGATGGTGCTTATGTTGTTGTAGGAGCGACCGAAGAATGACTGTGGACGAGAGAGGGCAGAGGGAAAGCAGAATATTAGCCAAAAGTGTTAAAGGAGCTGGGCACAGTGCTGGAATTGGCTGTGTGCGGGGCGGAGCGTCAACTTACCTTGCAGCCCTCGCAGGTAAAGGCGCCAAAATGAAAGCCCGCCGCGGGCTCACCGCACACTTTGCACGTCTGATTCATCTGTAAAGCGAAAGAGATCAAACGTTAGTTAAGTCCATTGATAAAGTGATATCGAGACAGGGAGACGGAGAGATAGAGAGGATGCTGATAAGCTGAGAAGCTTCAACAGTGTGAAAGGGTAATCAGAATGAGAAGTTTATCTATTTCACTAGGGGAGATTCCCCGTTTCCTCAGTTCATTCTCAACTCTGCACTTTTTATATAAATAATAATCCATTCAGCGCTGTGCGTAAACTAACCAAGTTGAACACCATGTTTGGCAGCTAGCCAATGTCGATCGATTACAATTGATAATTGTTTGTTTTTTTTTTGCAAATAACTTTGTGTTTTCTGTTATTTTCCGGCACTTTTCGTTACGTTTTCCGCGTTCTGTTCGTTTGCTGAGCTGCTGTGCGACTGATGCTCGAACTGAGCCCAGCACAGGAATTTATAGGAAATAGTTGGCAAGGCGATTTTCCTCATCTTTTTTTACGATCAGCTGCGTGGGCAGGCAAAAAACGTAAGCTGTCGGGGATTATGCAACCCTATTTGTGCAGGTAGAAACTGTTGTTTTTTTTTTACATGAAGTCATTATGCCTAAAAAATATGTAGAGAGTCCTAGACCTTGACGTTGTGTCATAAAAATTTGTTGGCAATTTTTTGCGCCCAAAATAAAAATCATAAAATAAAAAAAGATGTGCGTTCGCCTGCACTGAACTCTCTCTGTATCTGAGTCTGTGTGGGTGTTTGTTTTTATTTTGTTTTCGCATGAAACAGTAAAAAATCAAAGTAGTGCAAACAGGGCTCATAAATATGCCGTCGGCCCAGCGAAAAAAAAAACAAGAATACAAAACGTGAATTGACTTTGGGTGTGGGCGCGTTTTTCCTCTTGATTTGAACTTACCTTGGGTTCTGTTGGGTTTTTGCGTATAGAACTTTGTGTGTGTTTGTATTTTTTATAGCTGATGACTTTTTAATTGCACGTGGCAGTTTCTTAAGTTTGAGTTTAACTATTCACAACACTTTTTTCTCTTTTAGCACTGTTTGATCTTTGTGGATCAGTCACTGTCTGTTTGTGGTTTCTGTGTTTGATTGGTTTGACGCTCGCTGCTCGTTGAGCTGAACTGTAACTGTTTTGCTTGCTTCGGCTTAAGATACACGCAACGCGCTCTGTACTCACGATGTGTGTAACTCACACCTGGGCTACTAGCTGACGACTGATTTCTTGCTCAAACTCGTCGCTGGCAAGAAGCATTTCTGTGTGTCGCTCGGTTGGCTAACTCCCAGTGTCTATATACATACAACAGCAACTAGCAGTACTCCACACTCACTCACACACACACACTAACCACCAGAAGCAACAACGAGTTTTGTAGTCTCTCTCTCTGATAAATCACAGTCTCAGCATCTGACTCGATCGTGCTCATGTATTCAAAACCACCACCAACAACAGCCACAGCAGAGTTCACTCAATTGCGCAGCGCTCTCACAACAACAGTTTACCTGAGTCACTGTTAACGCGCTGTTAGCCGCTCTGTTACGCTTGAATGAATGAGGCGCGCAGCTGAGCTGTCAGCTGTCTCGCTCGCTCGCAGAGCCGAGCGCGCACGCTCTCTGTTGGAGCTCGCTCAATTTGCATTGCTCTGATATTATTCGTTATTCGGTTATTTATTAAAACTCGCACGTTAAGGGCAGCTAAGCTTTCTCGCACACTCACACAGTGCCGTTGACTTCATTTTTAACAGTTGCTCATTTTATTTAGCATGGGCGGAGCCTTTAGCAGCTGAAGTTGTTAATTTATATGAGAGGTTGGCTATCTGTATGCATGTACCCAAACACACACACACACACATATATATATATATATATATATATATAAGTAGCGAAACAGTTAAAAGCGTTCAATATGGAGTAATTGATTTGTTTGAACAGCCTTGCTTAGCTGTGTGCAAAAATTTACGTCTATAATAAATTGTCTGCAGTCTCTTAAAATTTCTGATTGATTTTCTATAAATTCTCCATATTATATACCGTTATTTACAGCCCGTAATAACTCTTTCTGCCATTTCAACTACTGAAATTAACTCTTCTTTATTATCAATTGACTTTTTCACTTTTATTGCTGGCAGAGAAACAATCCTTTCTCAGACTCAACCCGACCCTTTCTTGCGTCTCTCCTCACAAAGGATCAGTTAACTCTTTTTATGCACCTTTATTATATATTTGCCGTGAGCCACCGAGCTACTACCTGGCAGAGCTGCGCACATTAACCCTTTTATGCATGCTCATTGTTCCGCAAGTACAAGAGCACAATAAATGTGTGAAGCCAAAATGGATTTTATAAAGAAGACACGGCATACAAAGTGATCTTCTGTGGGAGAGAAGCTCTGGCACACATACTTAAAGCTCTATAGATATAATATCTAATGCAAGCAAATCAGTTAGCTTAAGTCTAAGCAGCTCTTTTTGTTCCTGGAACTATTTTTCCGGTAGTGGCCCAACTATGAACTCTTCGCATGATTACCTCAGCGGCGGGCCAGCCGCCTCTGCTGGCCATAAAAAATGGAAATTGCATCAAGCCAGCCGTGTTGCGTGTTCCACGTAAATGTAACAAAGGCTTGCAGGATAAAAAGTCAAGATGTAGAACCCAGAACTGAGGACACTGCTCAAATGCGCTCTTTGACCTTGCAGCGTCATTTTTTTCTAATCGATTCAATTTAACTGACTTTTGCCCGTTCGCGTTTTTTCGTTGTCATTTTTTGTCCCGCTCACACACAATAATAATAATAAAAAAGAAACAGAAAATGTTTTGGCAAATTTCGCGAATTTCCGCAGCAAATGGGTAATTTTCCCAAGTAATTAGTTAGCCCGAAAGGAAAGAGCGACAAAAAACTGAAAAATAAGGACAAACGGTGCGACATTGTGACTTTTAATCCGGTTTAATCCCCCGGCTTAAGTTTTTTGCATGCACCACACACACATACACCCGCACCAAAAAACAAATAGCGGTTCGAGTTTTTGAGTTCTCGAACTCGCGAATCGTTGTTTGTCGAGTTGAACGTGCAGCGCGGCGCGGCGCGTCGTCGGGCTGGCTCATCATAATTATGATCCTAGGATAATCGGCAGCTTAGGTATGCTGATCCTGCGATTAGGTAACAGAATCGCGTGCTTAGGTAGCCGCAAGAATTGCCCTAAAAAATACGAGACAGCCAGCTCGAGAGCCATAAAGTCATTGGCACCATAAAAAGTCGAGCAGGTCGCCTAACCCGCGCCACAGAGCTCACACTTTCCGCTTAAGTGGAAAAGGGATGACTGACTCCTTGCCCAAAATGCATATGGCCTACACTTTTTATAATACTTCTGTATTCTTTTCCCTCATTTTTTGCAGCAACTCGAAATTACCGTTAAGCATACGTTCTGGTAGCATCCATAAAAAAGTCAATTGCCCTAGAGAGTTGCGTAAAAAATGCGTTTGGAATTCGCTAGAAATAAATCAAGGACACACGCCCAGACCTCTCAGAACACAGATATATATAACTTCCTATGCTAAAAAATGGCTTAAAAAACTGCGTTGACTTTTTGACTTTACGGTTACAAAAAGTCAACTTTTTAATTGGCCATAAAAAATGTAAAAAAGCGAGCGAGAAAATGTCGGTAATGGTAAGCAGGCAGCTACTAAAGGCGACTATTGGCCAGCATTAGGCCTACCCGATTGACGCTCGACGATCGACGATCGCATCGATCGCATGTTACCTGAGCTAGACAAAAAGTCAAAAAGTCAACCCGTTCGCATTTACATAGTTTGATTGCATCATTTGCCCAAATGGCCATATAACAACAGCACATATCAATCAACACACTTTGTATCTGTATCTGCAACTGTATCTGTATCTGTATCTGTATCTACAGCTGTATCTGTAGCTATTTGCTATAGCTCGCGCTGAGCTCGTGTGGCTCTCGTTGCGATTTGCATATTTTTGATTTAGCAGCTCGCTCGATGATTGCTCAGTTACTGTGCTCTTGTCATACACTAACCGAAGTGGATATATTGACTAACTAAGAGCAAAGAGAGACTTAAAATACTAACTATTAAGTTGTAGTACTTAGAAGCTGAGCTCGAGAGAAAAACTTGCCTGTTTGTTCCACATTCCATCTCTGAATACTACTAGCTATATGTTTACATATCTATGTTTACCTCTTAAGCCTATTTATAATATTATAATACAGGTATATTTATAAATATATCCATATATATGAATATATATATATTTGCTCCTTAAGAAAATAAACTGAATTTTATTTCCTTTTCATATAATCTCCGTCAAGTGTATCTCACTTTCAGCTTCAACTTTTTTGCTGTCGTTTCTTGTATTTAAATTTTGTTTGTTTCAACGCTTTGTTTGTTATCTTATGTTTTGTCAGCTTTGTTATTGTAATTATGTGTGAATAATTTGCATTTGGGCTGCGCTAACATTCATTCGATGTACCATTTTGGTCCACAAAGATAAGACCTGACGGCTTATAGACAATTTTACAATATATCATTTTTGCACAAGCACAAAAAGATTTGTTCAGCGACGGCAGCTGCGCTTAACCTGGCCATTAGCGATTAAATGGCTAAAGCGCTTAGACTTGGCTGTAATACGTCGTCGGAGCCAATGCATCATCGAATCAGTTTTTATTCATTAATTTATTCATTAATTGCAATGACTTATCAAGTTTCACATAAATATTATATAGACCCAGTCATTATGGCCTATACATTTAGGGTATAACATGTTAGGGCAGCAGCTCGATAGGCAAATATTCAAATATTTGCCGAGGTGCCTTAGCTAATGTGTTAACGCGCGCTATTATAAAGCTAATGAACTTGTGCTATAAAGTAAAATATACAAAGTTAGTGCATAAAACAAATGCAGCTGAGACATATTGTGGATCTATTGTGGATATATATTATATATAATTATAACTTTTGCTATAGCAAAGTTTTGCAGTTGCAACAATCAATATTTCTGTCATAGATATGTGCCTTTGCTCATTTTTGCTCTACGCCTTCATTTGAGTGCATTCCGAGAAGTTTAACTCCTCATAATGTTTTTCATTTGTTATTCAATTATGCATAATACTATATAGACTTAAATGCTTTAACATATGAACTTATATTGACTTGTATTGTAAAGACAGTTAAAAGTATATTGCAAAAATGGCCATAAAATAATATTTAATTGCTTTATATTAAAATAAAAGTAAACTTGAGATATTTTTACACCTTTTTATAGCTGATTTGTGAAGTCATCCTGGCCGCACCTTTCATGCGGCCCGTAGAAAAGTTAATAAGACTTGTTTGGTCAATTTCTCAAGATATCAGAATTTGATAAGTTGCTCCTGCTGTTGTTGTTGTCGGTTACGCAACTGACAAATGTCCTAAGTTTAATTGTGTTGGGTAATGTGTTCATTACGCTGAGCGTTTCTATAGAATAAACTGGTTTGCGTGGCTTTTGGCATCGCCTCAGTGATATATGGCACTCGTTTATTAGTGCTCTATAGAAACGCAGAAAGATATAGTTGAAAGCATTCGATTTAGAGAGAAACACGTAGCATCTTCACATTATATCATCGCACTGTCATATCGTTCGTATTGTATTAGAATTATGAAATTATGCAAATGACAATTATGATTATTGATCGCAGATAGCAGCCTATAGAGATATGGACAGGGGCGGAAGGGGTTGATAGACGGCTCGTAATATTTTTGGCAAACATCGCGATTGGAGTTGGAAATTTATAATCGCGCATGACAGCATAAATAATAATTACGATACAATTATGACATTCGGTTTGTCAGGAAATATGTTTTTCGTTCAAGGAATTTGCATAAATTTGACGACCTTTGGCCCTTTGCTTGTTCAAGCAAATCCGAACTGTAGATGGAGTTTCCGCTGGTTTAGCAGCAGACCGCCAAGAATAGCGCTGCAAACTTCCCACGGATCAGATCATGTCTAGCTAACGATATCTTAATGTACCAAGTGCGATCAGTACCCACATGTTGTAGATTACATAGAGTTAAATGCATTTTGACTGGGCAAAACCAACTAGCGGAAGTCGAAGCTGTGATCTGTTTTGTCGCAGTGCAAAATTTCCAACAGCTCTCGCGGTTTTTCACACACTTTCTCTCGTGCGCTGTCTGTGCACTGATCTCAATTAAATCCGCTGACAAACGACTCGGACTGCGGATCGGTCGCTGAGACTTGTTT